GGCTGGATTTGAGCTCAGAACTTGCAGCCTCCAGACCTGGTGCTCTATCCACTGTGCTTCTAGCTATCTTTGCCTATTATTTGGCGTTTGCCATGTACTATATCTCACAAATCTCTTGCTGAGAGAAGTTTTCCTATTTTAAGAGCCTGAGACTTCTGTATAGTCTATAGACCTTTGACTTCTTTTATTTCTCACTTTTGAAACATTTTTCCAACATATTTTTCATAGTCCTACCCTATGATTGGAATAGCTAGATGGCTCAGTGGGTAGAGTGCTGGGCCTGGAGTCAGGAAGATTTGATTTCAAATCTGGCTGCAGACACTAGCTGTGTGACCCTGAGCAAGTGACTTAACTCTGTTTGCCTTAATCTACTGGAGAAGGAAATGGCAAAACCACTCCAGTATCTTTGCCAAGAAAACCCCATGGACAGAGTTGGTGTGTGATGGCCCACAGAGTCTTCAACATGAAGAGTCAGATGTGACTGACAACAATATCATAATTCATTTTGCATGGAAGTTCGTGAGGATTAAAGCATATTTATGTATTAAAAAAAGATATGTTATCTCATGTATTAGGGAGTTTTAACAATATAAATTGCAACACATTCTGTGTGACTCTTGTCCACTCTTGCCACTGGGGTCCATCTAGTGTGCTAGAGACCTTTGTTGTTACCCTCAGTATCGTGACAGTACCAATGACAACTCTAGCTAGTCACAATTAAGCAAAACTGACTTAACAAAACTGTCACGTACGACAAACATTACAGGGATGTGTTGAAGCCAGTTTAAACATCAGAACTGGTTCTTAAATTTTCCATATAAGTCTTTATAGGTCAGATTTGTAGCAAATGCTACAAATCAGGACTTGATTTATTGTTTTCTTGGTTATCTAGACTTAATAAAATAGTGGAGAAAATGTTCATAATGCAGATTCAACTTAAGTGTCTTGTGTGTGTGCATATCTTTAAGGAAAACCAGTTTTAAAACATTTACCACCACACCCTGCAATATGACGTTCTCCACCCTCAATGAGTGAAGTTCATTTCTCACATTTGGAAATCGTGATGAGTTATCTTTTTGGACATTTAACAGCACTTAATAACATTGTAAATTCACAAATACATGCTTACTTATCTTAATTTCTCTTATAAGATCTTTCTGATGCTTTCTTACTGAGTTCTATATTTCTTAGTTATTTTGACTGCAAAACCATAGTATCATAGATTTAGTTCTGTAAGGGACCATAGAGTACAACTCTCTAATTTTACAATTGAGGAAACTGAAGAACAAAAAATAAAGTGAATTACCTACAGTCATACAGCTATTAAGTGTCTGAGGTAGGATTGAATGTAGTTCTTCATAATTTCAAGTGCCAGTGTTCTAGTTACTGTTCTATACTTAGTTGAAATCAGGACTTTTTTTATACTGTAATTCTGCCAATGTGGGCTGGTACCCTAAAGCCTGCCCTTTCTAGTCTATCATAGAAGTTACTGATAAAGATGTTTAAATAATGCAAGATCCAGAAATGGGCCCTGTGAGATGACATCAAATATTACTTTCCTCTTTCCCCCTGCAACCAAAGGACCACTGGTCTGTCCATTTGACTTACAACTAAATTCTCTCTCCGTCTCTGTCTCTGTCTCTCTGTCTTTCTGTCTCTCTGTCTCTCTCTCTTCATATGTAACCATATAAGAACATGTGTTATTTGAGTGTAGGTATCTTGTTTTTATCTTTATATCCAGTGTCTTACCAAATAGCAAGGACTTAATAAATTGTTTTTAGTCACTCATTTATTTGTTCATTCATTCACGCTGTCATATGAGCAGCTCATCGTTTCATTATGTTATACAATTTATTCATAATTTCCTTTACTTCTGTTCTTTGAAGATCATTGTTGGTTACATAGTGCAGCTTGTTCCTATCATGCACATCTCTCTTGTCTGCTGTGTATTACTCATTTTTAGTTTCTTTGGAGCCAGTGGTAATCCATATCTCTCTGTCCTAAAGCAATATTGTTAAATGTTAGTACTGAAAAATAAGGAGTTTTGCTTTCACGGGAAGCTTGATAAATGTACATTGTGATTTGCTGAAAGCAATCCAACTTGTCTTCCTTTTCAACTCTGGGCCTAGTTCGTTGTCTAACTGTACTATGGCTTCCAGATATGTGTGCTGTTGGATAAGCTCTAAAGGGTATCCATCCAAATGCATGTTGAAATCTAAATCTTGGCTTTAGACTTTGTTCATCTACTTGCTCTTTTTCCTGTTTGGATAGACAAGCTAACCTACTTTGAATGATTATTGATCTCTTCAAGAAGGCTCTGAAATATTCTAGGGATTGGTGCACATGTCATCTCCAAAAGGAACATCTGAAGGACGTCACTGTCCTTTTGACTGTGCACTAGATCACCACTATAGTAGCATGCTTAAGCATATGTTGATTTGATTGGAGGGTCTTATAAACAACGCTATACTATTTTTCTACCTTATAATTTGAACCTGGTATTATCAAACTTAAGACACTGAATAACTGTGAGTTATTATTTATAAGAGATATTGGGTGAAAATATTTTCCCCTCAATTCATGTCTTCTCTTTTTATTCTGGATGCATTAATTTTGTTTATGCAAAAGATTTTTATATGATGTACATCTCAATCTGATCTTACTGAGGAATTGGAAGGTAGTCAATTCTACATGAATTTCATATTTTGTAGTTTTATTTTTTGAAGCATTTCTTTTAATTTATAAAACTAGCAAACAGCTTTGTTTATGTTGTACAGTTTGCTAGATGGATGGCTTTGTATGCTTCTTCATTTGTTAACAAGTATTTGGATTAAAAAAAACACACAAAGCTTATTGTGCCTGTTGAGAAACTAATTTCATGTCATCTGGATGTAAGTTTGGATAGGCTTAGGGAAATGATACTGTTTTAATATGTTTTCCATTAGTATTTGCCTCCCCTCTCCCTGATTGTACCACTTCTCTCTTTCTCCAGTACTTCATACTCAGAATTTAAAAAATTCTCTCAGGAATCTTTTATTCAGTTTTGTTTTCTTGACACTTATCACAACAATTACATGATTAGATTATTCTTTTTTAATGTTAGTGGAACTTTTAGACTAGAAGCTGAACAACCCTGGTAAGATGTACAGCTAAAATTAACAAAATAAGGGGAAATGATGTGGAAAATCATTTGGATCATTGTTCTAATATGGATGTTGTGAGAAAAATCTGATATTGCAAAATTTGGGTATCAAAAGAAATGATTATTTCTTTTTTTATTTGCAAGTATAAGTATACATCTTCCTGAAAGCAGGTTGGACTAAGCCTTGAGGATAACTGCCCATATAGTTAGTGCTCTGTGTTAGTGTTTGTCAGATTTTACCATTTCAAAGTTTGAGGAGGCAGAAAAAGATGGAATTATTTACTTAGGTTTCTTTCAAAGTTGATTGATTTTTGAAAATATATGAAGTTTTAAAATATAAATATTAAAAGTTTAGGACATGAGATGTGTTATTTAGTCTTTTCTATTTATTGGAGGCCTTGGTAAAAAAGCAAAGGTAATTAGAAGGTTAATAAACTGTGGGGGAGGTATAAAGGTATAAACAGGTATTGATTTTTTTTCCATTTTTTATGTGTGGAATGAGGTAATGTAAACAAATTAAGACATGTACCTGCCAGGTTCTTTCATTGTCAAATTTTGACTTTTTAAGTCAGTTCTAATTATTATTTGGACCAGCTTTTCCCACTCCCATTCAAACCCTAACATAGCTCTGGGAGGAGGACTATAAACATTTATATGTAAGTCTATTAGGATGAATTAATTATTAAATATTACCAATATTCCCCAATGAGTCAAAAGAAAAGGTAGTATTTGTATACTGACAGTATGGAAGAGGGAGAGAAATTTTTACCACTTGACCAATGGCAACCAGCTCAGCAAGTCTGTATCTTAGCTGCTCTTTACCATGTGTACATTTCACACTTTTTCACCAAAACAAGGTATACATGAGCAGTGAAGAGCACTACATTTGCAATCAATAGAAACTTAGATTGAAATATTATTTCTGACACTTAAAACTTTTGTGACTATGAGGAAATCACTTAGCTTCTCTAATGCACAAATTCTGTAAACTGAGGATGGCAAGTTACTTAACTTTTCAGTGCCTTCCAGAGAACTCATCTGTTAGTCAAAGGAATTGTGGACTTGCCTTTGTGCAGGGACTTTTCACACTGGGAGTTGCACTGAGATAATCATAGCTTTTTTCCCCCCTTTCCTTTCCCACCTCCCATTTGAAAAAAAGTTGAGATAATACCCCTAATACTCACCTCATAGGGTTGATATGATGCTCAGGTGAGATGTGTGTAAAGACCTTTAACAACTTTAAAATGCTATGTAATCTGTTATTATTACCTGAATGCTGAGGTTTGTTCCCAAACAGGATTCAGATTCAAACACAGACTATCTTTCTATATGTGGAATTTATCACCTAGACTATCTCAAATACATGTAATATCCACTTTCACTATCCCCTAAGCTTTTCTTAGGCATATAAAAGAAAAATTAAAACTAGTTTACAAATAGAAATATCTAAGTTTATCTTATGACTTATCAGGAAAGAGAATATAAAACACTAAATTTTTGTAAAAATTAGAAAAGCTCACCTAGAACAAGGAACATTTTTTTTCTTTTATGCAGTTTTACCTGACTCATTCCATGCTCACAAACCTGACTGAATGGTCTAACTTAAGTCATCATAAGAGATGATTCAAAGTCAGCTGAAAGGCTTAGTACCACGGATGAAGTAGAGATTTGTATTTTTAAGAATATTTCATTGTATGAGTAAGGTAAATTTCCCAATATAATATGTAGGAGGAAATTGTGTTTAAAAATGCCAGAGAGAATAAGCTACAAATTACTACTACGCTAAAATTTTCAAAGATGTCAGAGGAGTTTTCATTCTTATCTACTATTATTAATATTCCTCCATCCTACGCCCTAGGTATGTGTCCTTGATCCTCGATTCTTGGAGAGTTGGAATGGCTGTGAACATCTATATCAACCCTGCAATCTCTAATTGCAAAAATGAAATTGTGTGGAGAGACTTATTTGAAACATTATCCTAGTTTGGAGTAAATTGTGCTTATCTTCTGCACCTGACCTCTCATGGGTATGTATGCACCGATGAATTTGTTTGGATTCCATTAGGAATGCTATGTAAAGATTCTTATTTTGACATTTTCAAGTAGATTAGTCATTTTAAAATGTTGATTAAATTGCTCCCTTGCCTGCAGTAATGTCTCCTTCACAAGATTGTTGCAAGGGTAGTACTTTAACAAGTTACATATATGTAAATGACTGTAATTGTTATATATAAGACTCTTAGATTTAAAGATTGTTAGAGCTGGAAAGGACCTTAGACATCATTTAATTTCAATCGCCATCTCTTTTACAGATAAGGAATTTGAAGCTCAGAGAGGCTAAGAAATTTGGCCATAGCTCTATTAACGGGCAGAATTTGGACTTGAACAGAGATAGCTCTTTCCTCATTCAATCCAGGCATTTCATTATTTAAGTTACAGATGCCTCCTCATCTGTTTCAATATGCCGTGGTTAAAATGCAGTGATTTTGGAAGCATTCTTTTTTTCCATATATTCTTTGAGATACCATCCATTTTTATTACTTTATTCAAAGGATCTCTTGTAGAAGATGAGCTTCTTGAGGACAGGGACCATTTTTTTCCTTTCTTTGTATTCCCATCTTTTAGCACAGTACCTGGCACATAGTAAGCACAAAATAAATGCTTGTTGACTTTGTGTGGCTTTGTAGAGTATATATTATTTAAATGTGACAGGATGTAATTACTGAGGTGAAACAAATTTGAAACTGGACAAGTTAATTCATATTTAGTCCAAAGTAATCAGTATTATGAAGTATGGTTCTTTGTGTTATTCTTAAGGCCTTCCATGATAATAAGTCATTACTTAATAGTATTTCTGGCTTGTAAACATAACTCTTGAGTTGTAAGTGCTCTCCTGACACTGTAGGAAAAGTAGGAATTATTATTTTCCTGACTTGCCCAGAATTTCAGTTATCTGACACATTCCCAAGGGTAGAGACTAACCTTTCTTACAGACACACAGGCTCTCAAGGTTTAGTAATAGTTTTGTTTTCAAGGTAATGGAAATAGGGCTTGCATCTGCACTCATATAAAGTTACAATACCCACCACTGAGCAATTTTTCTCCAAACAACCTATATAGTCTCATTGAATTGTAATATAGTCCTGTGTAGAATTATAAATGTGCATTTCTGGCTCATTCCTCCACATAGATGATCTCAGCACCACAGCCCTGGGTTTTGTTGTTGTTTCACAGGTATCTCCAGCTCCTCTCACCCTTAATTGTTTCCTTCTGGCATCTTTCCTCATCAGGTTTGTTTTCAGAGCAGTTTGGTCTTCTACTCTGTCTCCAGGGGACAAACTTTCCAAACACTCATTTATATGGGAATAACACTTTGGATATATTTTATAGTTCAGAAACACATCACTTCTTTACATACCAATTCCCAAAGCCCCAGGCCTTACTCATGGGGGACCCTCAGAGGAACTGTTGGAATCATGTCCGCCTACCTTAAAAATATTTTTCTGTCTCCAACTCCTGGTAGGGTTATGGTGGCTTACTGCTGTTGACTATTCTTCTTGCATTACCAGACTGTTATTTCCCTTACTTGCATCAGTACTTCCTGCTAGACAAAATCTTTGGGAAGCACCCCACTCTCGCCTTTTCTTTTGCCATCATCCAGCACAGCTGATCTAGGTTATTGAAATTACCTGGAGCTGTTCCCTGAAACATCTAGAAATGAAGAGAGCTGTCTCCTAACACTGGAGGTGAGGATGCAAGGGAAGATAGAGGAAGAATTAATCCTTTTACATGAAATAAAACTGTATTTTGTATTGTATTTAACTATTCTCTTTTATCTTTCTAAAATATCTGATCAGCCAACCAAGGGTTTCTCACATTTTCATTTCACAAATGCCAAATGGTAAAATTTCACAGTGCCTGTGATAGTGTTGGAGTACAGTAGATGTCTTTTTCATTGTTCAAGAAGGCTAGTGGGGAAGTACAGGATGGACAGATGAGTTGATAAACTTTTACTATTCTCCATACAGACTAATCCCCCTCTGATCTCTGTGTCTTTTCACTGGGCTTTTCCTCATGCCTGGAATTCACTCCCTCCCCACCTGTAGAGGAGAAGGAAATCAAATACCTCTTGGAATCTCTGATTTTCTTTAATCTCCTATGCTGATAGGGCTTTGTTCTGTAAGATTACTTGAATTCATTTCGTATGTGTTTGCCTGTACTTATATATGCACATATTGTTTTCCCTCTTAGATGCAAGTTCCTTGAAGGCCAGACCTGTTTCACTTTTGTCCTTGTTTTTAGCACAGTACCTGGCAGATATTTAGACATTTACCAAATGCTTGATGATTGATTTTCTCAAATACAGTGTTAAATGAGTTTAACACAGGTTGCTTATTCAGTGTCAGTAGTCAATTGAAAAGAGGAAGATGAGGAATTATTAATAACATAGCTCTATAAGACTTTAAGGATTACAAAAACCTTTCTCATAACAGACTTATAAGAAAGGACATGAAAGCATTACTATTTTATATGTGAGAAACTGAGGCTTATATAGTAAGTAAATCCTTCCAATTATCTTTCTGACTCTTTGAAATTAAACTTGTTTCCAATTCCCATTCAGATCACCAAAGATATATTTTTTAAAAAGAGTATTTAAAAAATTAAAGTCTTTTTTTTTTACATCACCACAATTTTCCCCAATATATGTCTCCTTCCCCCTCTCAGAGAGTTATCCCGTAAAACAGGTATTATTTTTAAACACAAAGAAAAATAAGAGGAAAAAAATCAGCATAATTGATCAATATAGCAAAAAATGCTGAGAAGATATGAAATGTACAACACTTGCATAACCCCACCTCTGCAAAGGTATGGGCTTAGACTATTATATCTCTTTCTTAAAACAATGCTGCTTTATAATTTTGAAACAATGACTTCCGATTTTTTTTTTCAGAGTTGCTCTTTCCATTTACGTTGTTGCAGTCATGTATATTTTTTTCTTGGCTCTGCTGACTTCCTAGTGATTTTTTAGTTACCCGATTTGATTGCTTTTTGTCAGTTCTAATCCTCCTTGATCTCTGCAGCATCTTGACACTGTTGACCATCTATGGATTTTCTTTCCTCCCTGGGTTTTTGGGACATAAGTCTCTCTTAATTCTCCTCATCCTCTTTGTTATATGATCATGCATGTACCATACTTAATTATGGTATGCTGCAAGGCTGTATCTTCTCTTCTCGCTCTATCCTTTTTCCTCATTAGCTCACATAAGTTTAATTTCGTCTCTATGTTGATGTCCCCCTAGATCTATGTATCTGGGCCAAATCTCTCTCCTGAGCTCTGGCCCCTATCTGACCCATAAAGGACCATTGTTGCCTTTTCTGTTTTGAATTTGATATCTCATAACCATCTCAAATTTGGCATATCCAAATAATCATTAGTGTTTTCCCATAAACCAAACTCTCTTTCTGAAATTCATCCTTACTGTGGAGGATTCTACTATCCTTCCAGCTATCTAGTTCTTTCTCATTTTCATCCTTCTCTGGAGAATGGATTGTTTTGTTATTTGCATTTGTATCCCTAGCACCAGGCACAGTGCCTGAAATACAGTAAGTGCTTAATAAAGGTTTGTTTATTAATTAATCCTTCACTCATTCATTTTGATTTACCCCACATTTCCAATTTGTTGTTAAATGTTGTCATTTCTATTTCCATAACAACATATATCTGTTCCTTTTTGTTCTTTTTATTTTTTAAGGCAATTGGGGTTAAGTGACTTGCCCAAGGCCACACAACTAGTAGGTATCAAGTGTTTGGTCTGAGGCCAGATTTGAACTCAGGTCCTCCTGACTTCAAGTCCAGTGCACTATCCACTGCACCACCTAGCTGCCCCTTATCTATTCCTTTCTATCTACTCATAAAGTCACCATCATAGTTTAGAAGTCCTGTTCTAACTCTCAGTTTGACTATTGAATCCTTATTGGTCTCCCTGGCCCAATTATCTTCCCTTTCCTAGTCTTCTTCTACAGAGTTGTCAAAGTGATTTTGTTGTTGTTGTTCAGTTGCTTCAGTTGTGTTCAACTCTTTGTGATCCATCTGGGGGCTTTCTTGGTAAAGATAGTGGAATGGTTTGCCATTTCCTTCTCCAGTTCATTTTACAGATGTGGAAATTGAGGCAAACAAAGTTAAGTGACTTACCCAGGGTTACTCAGCTAGTAAATATCTGAGGTCAGATTTGAACTCGGGTCTTCTTAACTCCAGGCCTGCTGCTTTATCCACTGTGCCATGTAGTTGCCCAAAGAGATTTTCTTAATGCACAAATATGGACAGGTTACTCCCATACTCAACAAACTTGAGTGGCTCACTGTTATCTCCAAGATCAAATATAAACTCCTCAGTTTGGCCTTTAAAGCCTTTTAGAACTTGGCCCCATTCTATTTTTCTAGCCCTGTTAAACATGATTACCCTTCACACACTGTAGTCAAACTAATCTGGCCTTTTTTGTTGTTCCTAATATGTGGCATTCTATCTCTCTTCGTTGTGCCTTTGTATCGACTGTCCTCCATGTCTGGAATGCACTTCTTCCTCATGTTCTTTAAAATCCTTAGTTTCCTATAAATCTCAGCTTAGACACCATATTCTGCATGAGACAACTCCTTCTCCCCAACCCTGTCTGCTAGGGCATTCTCTCCCCTTCTTTTCCTCCCTTCTCTTTTAATCTCTCATTAGAGATACTTTATTTTATATTTATATATAATATAGATATACACACACATATATGTACACATATACATATATACATATACACATATACATATATATATGTACACACACATACTCAGATAGGTACATATCATCTCCTTCACCTAGATGGCAAGTTCTTTGAGGTCAGATAATGTTTTACTTTTGTCTTTGAGTTCTCAATGCCTACCACAGTACCTGGCACATATTAAGTTTTCAATACATTTTTGTTGATTGTTTGATTTCTCATAGTTACTCAGATAGTAAATGGAAGAGCCAATTAATTAATCC